CTCACAACCACCTCGAGGTTCTACGTTTACAATAACTTATAAGGTATGTCTAAATGGCATACGTAGTAGGGCAGAACATTAAAAACAAAGTGTTGTTTCTTATAGGTACTGCTTTTCGCATTTCTCTGTTATCCGTAAAGAACTTTTATTTCACTTTATTTTATAGAACACATTTTAATGCAAAAGTGTGTATAATTTATACCAGGACCAGTCTGAATGATAGCTCTTCAACCAGCTAGAAGCTGTCGTGCACTAATATTCGTTTTTTATATAAAAAATTAACGTCTGAAAATGTAAATCGGTAGATACTTTTTTTTGAGAAATAAATACCAAATGTTGTTCTGAATCTGAATATTTATATGATAACATTTTGCATTATTTGACTACTAGAAGACGCTGTAATGACTTTCCTGCTTCGTACTTATTAATATTACTCAGTAGTTTGAAGGCAGAGATAACCCACTTATTGTTTAATTGTCTAAGGCTTTATTTGCAAAGCCCAAAACTCGCAATACAAATCACAATGAAATCGTACAAGCATAATTTAATAAAAAAAGTTATTTCTTCATAATATAGTGAAGTAAGCTGCAATATATACTGTTAAAAACAATTCAGGGCAAAAGTAAGATTTGAACGAACTTTGAACTCGGACTGAAAACGCGTGGATACGATTTTTGGAGTATGAAAATATTCTAACTGAATGAATAAATAATCCTATTTCATGATATGCCAGAATGTCAATGCTCCATTGAAACTTATGCTTGCGTTTGGCTGTTAAATTTCTTTTTTACCCAAAGGTTATACTATATGTCTTCATCAAAGAAGTGGAATATCCTGGAGTTTGGTGAAGTTGATTTGGGGAATTACTGTTTTAGAAAGAAGTAATTTTCAGTAAAAAGGTTTTGGAGCAAAGACGAAACTTGATGTTTTTTTAGGTACATGTACTACTGTGTGGATAAAATAGTAAATATGCGGGATATATTATGGAAACCCACACCGCTCTAAGTACGTATGTATTCTTATACTGACTGTTGTTGCTAAAAAACAAAACAAAAAATATTGTTACTTTTGACATACCGTACAACAATTACTTACTATCAACAATATGTTAGTCTGTGTTAACAAAGTACATGCTTTACTTCTTTACTACAAAATTATAAAGTAACATATCATTTATAAACTAATTTGTTAGAACTCTGAATAGGAATGTATTAAACACATATAACTAAGACGCTTATTTTCGAATATTCTAATGAAAAATTGCATTTTTCATCTTGTATACTTCAATTGTATTTTAATTGTATAAAACATTACTTTAATCCTTCTTCAGCGGGGAATTTCTTTAGTGCAAATAAATTGTCTTGAATGTAGCAACTAAAATTAAGAAAGTATAGACAGATGTGACAGGTTTAAATAGCTTAACTCTTAATCCTGTGATCCTCTGAGTAACTGATCGTTAAGTGACATTGTTCTGATGTAATCCCATTTAATTCAGGGAACACAATCGCGTAGCTTCTGAGCTTTTGAGTCACAAGTGTTCGAAATAAACACATAAGCATTGAATATCCAATAATTACTTTTTTTGTATTTGTGTATAGAGCTTGGGAAGACATTGTAAACAACTACTCACAATTTTTTCTATTGTTACTGTATCGCAATCATGAATGATTTTTCTACTTGCTGATAAACATATGAAATATTTTCTTTAAAATATGGAATTATATATGTTTAACAAGCATTGTTGTGAGAACATATCACAATATAACAGAGTACTCTATGTCAGATGTGGTCAACACATATTTGCATCAGAATATGTGATTTAAATGTACTTACGTCTGAATAATTTGTTTTATAGATATTTTTGTAATCTTTATGTAGTCTAACGTCTAAATAATCTACGCTAGGGATACTTTACATCTGTAGAGTTGCTTACATCTAAATTAAATAATTTACACAACAAGTAACTCTAGATAACCAACGCTAGATAAATAACCTAGTAGAAGGTTTTTACACCTGGATAACTTGTATTTAGATAATTACGTCTGGATAAATAATACAAAATATATTTAATATCTAGACTGTTTTATCTTCTAGAGAATTTGAGT